TGCGGTCCACAGGCTTCACTGTTGTGGCCTCTCCCGCTGAGGAGCACAGGCTCCGGACGCGCAGGCTCAGCGGCCATGGCTCACGGGCCCTGCATTGGCAGGCGGACTCGCAACCACTGCGCCACCAGGGAAGCCCAAAAACAACTAATTTTAAGATGGTATAATCATAAAGGCTTGTAGAGATGTTCAGGAAAGAAATATCCACTTATAATAACCCTTTAATCTCACATAAAAATTTAAAACACAACAGCCAAAAAACAATAGTTTCTTACAGTATTTTCCCCATCTGAATTAAAAACACAAAAGGGTGTAAGTAATTTTCAGATTTTCCACCTTCTATCAAGGTCAAACACCCTTGTGATTTAACTTATTCATGCGAAAATATGCCAAATACACGTAGCAACCAACAACACCAATACAGTAAAAATGTCCTAACCATTTCACCAACAGATGGCAGGGACAGTTCACTATTAGTAATTTAAAGCATTGACTACTCTGGTCAGAACTTTTAAAGCAAGCAACTGACTCATTTCCAATTAAAATACAGGGTTAGGTTTAATTACTCCTTAAAGTTTCTCATTTATTAAATTTACAATGGCTTTATAAATAACTTATCAACATAGTTTCCATTTTAGAGTGTTAAGTAAATTTTCACTTTCACATTTGCTTGTGTCACTATATGTTTTCCCAATATGTTTATAAAAAACAAACTACTAATTAATTTAAATAGTAAACCCCCTAGGAAATACTGTCCCAGATTCTTTTTTTAATTGAAGTATAGTTGATTTACAATACTATATTAGTTTCAGGTGTACAGCATAGTGATTCAGTATTTTTGCATATTATACTCCACTATAAGTTATTACAAGATAACAGCTATTATTCCTTGTGCTATACCGTATATCCTTGTTGCTTATTCAGCTCTATTAATTTCAGTTTTGTACAAAGCAGTATGTGCCTCATCACACAATAAAGATAAAACCATATAAAGTGCCGTGCCCAGGAAGGCTGAAATACAACTATTATTTTTAAATGCTTTAATACTGTTGGGTTAATCCAATCACAGACCTGGATTCAACTTCTTGATCCTTAGGCAAACACAGTACCTTCATCTGCTAAAACAGAAATCTTCATGGTAATCCACAGAAAGGATTCCTTTTATTCAGACTTGGAACATTTTTCTTCTTCCTATGTTTAAATGTTTTTCCTAGTGACTTTATCAACTAGACATTAAATATTTTCAGATTAAGCAATAGAGAAAACTGATTAAGTAAATTCATACTACAGGAAATAAAATTATTCCATTTAACTGGCAATTTTGACTCTTGACCTAAGACACTAACTTGGCTAACTCTCCTCTCTACTTAAAAGCAAAATTTGTGGTTTTTCTCAAGACACCATTCTGCACT